CTGTGTGTTCGCACTTTTGTCACCCACTTTCAACTCAAGAGCCAGAAAAGCTAGAAGGCTGAAACTCTGGAGATATGTGCCTATAACACGCGCGACCCTCCCGATTTAATTTCATCCCCCCACGAACGCCTGGGTGCTGCGGACGAACGCTTTATAAAAATATGCAAATTTTTTGGCGGAAAAGCGATCTCGGGATCGGCATGAGCTAAAGGGATGAAACTTTGTAGGGATATTCCCTGTGCATGTACTAGTCAAAGATTTCAAATTCAGCTCCCAGGTATGCGCGGCACTCACATTAGAGCGTATGAAAGTTTTAGGGGAAAAATTGTTAACTCGGGTACCAGGAAAGTTAGAAATCTGAAATTTTGGGGTAATATTTCCTATCCAAGTACAACTCAAATTTTCAAATTCAGCCCCAAACTACGCGTAGTACTCACGTAAGGGCGTACGAAAGTTCCTGTAGGAAAATTACTAACTCGGCAACCAGAAAAGCTGAAAGGCTGAAATTTTGAGGGAATGTTCCCTCCCTAAGTACAACTTAAGTATTTCATATTCAGCCTTGAGGTATGCGTGGTTCTTGAGTATGGGCACTTAAAAGTCTTAACGGAAAAATTTCTCACTGAACAAGTAGGTTGCTATTAAAGGACGACTGTTAAATGGAAATTATACAGTTACTTTGCAAAATTTATGGTGATTTATGCCAGTGACCGCAAAAGCTGTAAAGCAACAGCCATTCATGCAGTTAATGGCCTGAGTACTTCAAGTCCGGTGCAAAAACGCATGATCACACGGGCCCGTCCGGTGCTTTCCTGCCTGGGTCTTCTCTCCGCCTCCACGTTTCACACATCGAGAAAGTCGCGTCATTTTACTTCAGAAAATGATTTGAGTACATCCTTCGATAGAAAACTACAGTTGCCGATATACTTCGAGAGGTTTAAGCCGCTTTGTGGTGGCATCTGTCGAACACCTGAGGTTTCTCGCAACCCTGCGTAGAGTATTAGTGATGGATCGTGCAAACATGCATAGTGTTCTTGCAAAATTGTTAACCTTTAATGTCTCTATGTTTTGTATCCAAATATATTACTGTGTCAATTGTCACAACATTTGAAATCATCTAATCGTCAGCGTTTCACTGAAGAGCTCATGGTGTCAAGGAAAAGCACCTCGAATGGAAAACAGGAAACAAAGGAAGCAAAAAGCAATACAGTACAGTAATTTCCTTTGTATAACGGTGCCGTCGTCAAACATCGGCACCAACATCAATCATGTATGCAGCTCTCTTTGTAAACTGGGCCTAAATGGAGCGAGGCGGAGCTCCAGATGGGCTCGGTAGCCGATTTTTTCGGCTAATTCTAACTGTCAACATTTTGTTTCGACGCTGACCGGAAGCCGTGTGCCAACACCAGCACGCCGTCCAACAACAACGTCGTCACACCGACCAGACACCGTCTGCCAGGATCAGCACGTCGTCAGCCGACATCAGACCCATCTTCCACCCTTTTTTTGTTATTACTGTTATTTTTCTATCGCATAAATATTCCTATGTTACCTCTAGTTAACAAAAACAATTGAGGTTAAGTATAGTAACGGTAGGAAACTCCAGAAAAGTCAAGGTCGGAAAGAAGAAGCTTTATGTTCACACCACACATGGCTTTGAATGCCGCTGCCAACAACATAAGCCATCTAATGACATAAAAATATTGTATCCAATGAAATATTAATATTAGCATTTTTTCTCTGTAAAAAAAAGATCACGCACAAAAAAAGAATGGAGCTGGCCTTTGTTTTCTGCTGGCATGATAGTAAACTCAAAATAATTCAAGGCTTGCTCAAGAAATCAGTTTCTTTATTCACAAATGCGAATTTTACATCAAGACACTGCAGCAATAAATGAATCACTTTCCGGTGACTTTATGCTTGACTTTTTGGTCCGACAGCGTCTGCTCATTTTCCAGCCCAGAGCCGATGGACTTATATGAATTAATATTCGTCATCTGCATGTCTTCCAGACTTTCATCGTTCCGTGCAGCGGATGCTATGCCACCAGGTAGAAGGTATACGCTTTGAGCATTGGAAGCTGCATTTTTGGTGCCTTTTGATCCAGCGCCTTTTTTCTGATTTGCAGCTCCCACTGCGTTGACTCCAAGCGCTGCTGGCCCAAGATAAAGGCTTCGATCTTTGTTCATACTTTGTGCCAAGTAAGTCCCGGGCCCGTAAGCCGTTTTACCAGATGCACGAGTAGCGACAGGCTTAGTAGCATTTTGCGCAGTAATGTTGGTACTTCCATCTTTTTTAGCAGTACCAACGCCGGCACTACTCGGCGCAGTACTTTGAGGCCCTTGCCCCAGTACAAAGTAGCTACTTCGCTCATTTGAGATACCTTTCGGGGCGGATGCAACCTTACCAGCGCCTTTTGCTTTACTGCGGTTTGCGGATGGCAGCGTGAAGTACGTATCGTTATCAGATTCCTGCAGAATCGAAGGAACAATTACACCGTCTGTACCTTTATCTATTCCAGCCGCGAAATACCTGCTTTTTTCATTAGAATTCGCTCTATAACCACTGGAACCGGTAGTATTACCGCTAGCAGTGCCACCCCCGCTCCCTGTGACATGGGTGTCTGCTTCTACACTGGCTTCTCCCGGCACCATGTCGCTTTTCCTTTCGTTTAAGCTTCCTTTATAACCACTGAAACCAGTAGAGGTACCACTAGCAGCACCACTCCCGCTTCCTGTGGCATAGGTACCTGCCCCTGCACCGGCCCCTCCCAGCATCACATAGCTGCTCTTTTCATTAAAGTTCCCTTTATAGCCGCTGGAACCAGTAGAGGCACCACCCCCGCCTCCTGTGGCATAGGTACCTGCCCCTGCACCGGCGCCTCCCAACATCACGTAACTGCTTCTTTCATTTAAGTTTCCTTTATAACCACTAGAACCAGTAGAGGTACCGGTTGCAGCACCGCCTCTGCCGTTTTGGGAATAGGTGCCCGCTTCCGCACCAGTTCCCCCCAACATCACATAGCTACTTCTTTCATTAAAGTTTCCTTTATAACCACTGGAGCCGGCAGAGGTAGCACCAGCAGCACCACCTCCGCTTCCCGTCGCATAGGTACCTGCTCCTGTACCAGCTCCTCCTAGCATCATGTAACTGCTTCTTTCGTTGAAATTTCCGCTGTACCCACTTGATTTGCCACCGGAGCCTCCAGCACCTGATGCATTTACAATGCCATCTGCACCTTCTACACCATAACCGCCCCCTTTTTTTGCACCAGTACCGCAAGCTCCTTGCTTTGCTTCTCCCATGAAGTAGCTACTTTTTTCGTTCGCCCCAATGTTTCCCGTACCGGATGAACCACCAGTTACACCGCTTTTTGCACCAGAACCATCATAACCT